AAAAAAAAACAAAAAACGTATAATAAACCCCACCCCCCCCCCCCCCCCCCCCCCCCAATCCCTGATAAATCTACTAAAGGTTTCAGTATTTTAGAATGCAATGACCCAAAAGAGACAGGTTTAGTTAAGGAGGAAAAGAATCTGCAATAGCACCTCACTACAATTGGACTGTTTTTAACTGATCCTTGAAGGTTAACAGATTTTGTTCAATTTTCTAAAAGGACTAGCAGGTCCACTGTCATCACTATACGACAAATGCATATTTTGTGCACTTCTTGAGAAGCACTGTTCCAAGTAAGCTAGTGCTCATTCCCCAGGGACTAATGTCTTATTCATTGCATGGATTCACAGCCTGGTTTTAGTTAAAGAAGCAACAGCCGTCAGGTAATAACTGTTAAAGACTTATTCAGCCATCTCATTTACATGATGTGAATCTGCATGAAACATCTGCAGCTTCTAAATGTGTATCAACTGTCTAAAAAGTAAAAGGCTAAAGTGATACTGCATTTCTTTCATTTTGTTACATATGACTATTGTAACAAAACTAAAAAGGGAACAATTCAAGTTACTGCATTACAGTACGCACAGTAAGTACACGAATGTACTTAGTACAATCATTTTCTCTCACAATGCCCTTTAGCCAGAAGCTGAAAAGACACCTTACAATATCTGGAAAGCTCCTCATTGCAGAAATATTCCCCAAAGGGACTGTATATATACAAAGTATTGCTCAGCAAGGCAACACAGATTAGTAGCCTAACACAAGCTGTAGTGCACTGTGTCATTCTTTGGTGTGTGCCTGAAAGGCAAGTACACAGGGGAAAATATAGGTGACAGCCTGCCAGCTTAACTGAACTTCTATCACACTCAGTAACAAATAAAGCTGGCAGATGCCCTGAAGGTTCTAGTCTATTTCCTGATTTTCCCAGACCTATTTAGAAAATGTTTGTTTAGCTCTAAGATTTCAAACAGTAGTTTTCTGACACAGAGACTATTAAGCATTCAGTGTTAAAAACAACCACTTCAGTGACATGGTCCATAAGCATCATAAC